ACGGTCAAGAATGTGATGGAGAAATAAACAATATATACGATTTATTTATCAGCACATGTATTTCATTTAAGTTAACTTTAAAGTGTAAAAATGTCTCTTTTAAAAATTTTAAATGTTTTTCATCATTCTATCTTTTTAAATTTTGTGAGTTGTTCAGAAGGAATTAAATACAAAAAGAACATCTTATCTGATCTAAGTTTACTAATAGAAATTCGATTATAATTATAACACATTAAGCTTTTTTTCAACTTTTGCATTCCATTTTTCACTATTCATCGCAACTCAAGCTATGGAAAATTACAGATTAATCATTTGAATATTTACATACTTTTAGAATCATGCATTAAATTGTAATTATATAACTAAATGATATGTGTTTGAAAGCTCTAATTCCAAACAATCCATATCAAGCATTCGTGACACAAGCAAAGGTAAATTCAAAGTTGACAGCTGAAGATTTATTTGTTTGTGAACAAGGACAAATCTTTGCATTTCACAAAACACCTTCATATTATCAAGGCAATGAATACATAAATCATGCAGGACTTTTTGTTCTGCTGTCGCTAAATCAAACTTTGCATCTTGAGAACCCTCTTTACACTGTACACTAAAAAGTTCTAATACTATGGGATTTTTGCAGTTAGAGTGATCTGCCCTTAGATCTAAATTCTTAAAAATAGAAACTCACAGTATGTTACTCAATTTGTAATCAATTCCGATTCTTGAATTTTTATAAGGCCAAGATAAATTAAATGAACATGTTTTACATGTACTTTCTCCGTGGAAGTAAACAACATTGATTTTTATTCACTGATACTGTGTTGTGTTTGCTTATTTCTCCTGGGGGTTAAATGCCACGTATCATATAGTGAAAATTGATTAAAGAAGCTTAATATAAGCACCTTTATAGAATATATTTTTCTCAATGTCCAAAAACATTTTGCACTGACATAGAGAGAGTCCTTAATCAAGCGTTGAGGAAATATAATTTAATCTTTTTCTAAACACCAAATAGAACAAAACCATGTATATTCTCTTAAACATTGTGTCTCATTATACATAAGACATTGAATAGAGGATATAGTTTTCTTTCCTGTATTTTGATATTTAGCTGTATGATTCATCTATACATGTATCTCTCTCTCTCTCTCTCTCTCTCATTTGAAATTATTTTTTTAAAATGTGACATATTTGGGTATAATTGCAGTGTTAGATTTATCAACCTCCTTTGCATCTGAAACTACCTTGTTTGACATAATAATCATGCATTACATCTTTTAAGTTGGAATTGAAAAGCATAAAAAATGTTAACAGATAAAGGGTGTTAAGAAAGTTCATTCCACAATTTTGTTTCATTTTCGAAAAGAAATACGATCAGGAGATATTTAAAACTTTTGGTATTTCATGTTTACAGAGGGCATTCTTGCTACTGATAAGGTTTTAACTGTCTTTTGTTGAATCAATAAGGGGAGGGCAGGTATTAAAACAGTTTATATCTGTGCAGAAAAATTAGGGAAGACGCATATTTGTGACATATATTAAGCACACAGGTCAAAACATCTTTTCAAATACTATGCAAAAATTATCAAGTCGGTGAAAAATTTCAAAATCACAAACCTATTCTTTTGAAAAGTGATCTATCGTTCTTATACCTTCGCTCATCAGCTTGTCTGATGCAAGTTAAGCTGTGAAGGAATAAAAGTAAAACAAAAGACAAAAGTCTTTTTATTTTCACTCAAAATGACCAGCATGTCTATCATTTGGGTGCTCTAAAGATGTTATATATATTTTCATATGAAAGAAAATTCCTATAACTTCCTGCTAGAAAAGAATTGCTATAAATCTAAAGCACAGTCGTGTGACTTTGTCACACTTGAAAATTCATCTCTTAAGTAAAAAACTACTTTGAAATTTTTGAAAATATTTCATCAAGGAACAAACTTTCATATTACACGTTATATTAAGTTTAACTGCAGAAGGGTTGTGTTTAATACAAGATTGCATATCTGAATTTTCTACCAATTTTGAAGATATATTTTTTTGTATTTTTTCCACATCAATTAAGTAGTTTTATCAAATTAGGTTTTGAAAAAGAAAATCATCAAAATTATCATGAACATGTTGGATATACTCTTTACACAGGACTCAGCTTTGGAAATCATTCATTATTGAAATATTAAGATCAATTTATATAGAACAGTCAACAGAGTCTGTTTATTTTTGCCTATTTGGTTTTATCCGCTAACGATGTGAACATATCAAATACACCGGATTTTTTCTTCAAAATTTCAAGTGACTTGAAGATGTTGATAAACACTGATTTACCATCAATTAACAAGGTGATACCATGAAACTAAACACCTGACTCGTTTATGTAACTATTGAGATTTTCATTTGTCAAATATACCTTTTACCGATGTCAAATATACCTTTTGCCGCAGTGTAAATCTTTAAAAGTTCACAATGTTTGAACAGATACAAATTCAACAGATTTATCCCGTCCTGAGTAATTAAATTTAAACTAGTTGTTCAATACAAAAAAAAACGTGCATTTGAGTCGGAGAAAGATTCCTGACATTTTCTGATTTATTGACTGACTAAAGGGGGCTGACTACTTGATATCGCGATTACTTAACTTAGCTGAACTCTTTCGCGAAGGAGGTAGGAATTGTCTGTTGGGTGGGGACAATGTGCTATTCAATACAATGCAAGATCGATCATTGTAGCATTTATAAGGACAGATAAGTAAAAAAATCCTGGTGGAATACCTCGCTAAACAATCGCTGAACCAGTCTAATATATTTTTGAGAGGAGCCAATTCTAAATTGTCACATTTTTAACGATATTTTTAATTAAGCAGACTCTTCTAGTTAAATTTTCATTGAAAATCGTCATATTTTTAAGCAGATAAAATATTCTAAACTTTCCTTATTTGACGATCTACTATTTGAAGTTCAATATCTGGCAAAACATCGTTATTTCGGCATTAAATTGTTCGAATCATTCGATTGTCACTACTGTAAACAATGTCATTTGCCCCCAGAAATTTAGACTTTTCTCGACTCCCCCGCAAAAGAGCGGTAGTAAGTTAGATAACTGCGAGGTACTCATTAGTAGTCGCGATATTACGTCTTGAGTTTACGTTGGTTCCAATATTTCGCACGTCATATTTAAAATGGTGATATTTACTGTTTTAAAGCAATTTTTTCACTTAATTAAAATACTGGTCCTTCGGATGAGACCGTATAAACCGAGTTACCATGTTGCAGTAGGTGCTGGCACAAAAAAATCCCTCCCTGCTCAATGGGCCTGAGTTCCAAGTACAGGAAAAAATTGCAGCTCTCCACCGGTAGGTGGTGCCCATTCCATTGGAATAAAAAATTTCGACGTTACTGATCTAGTAAAACGAAAGATGCCTAAAGATTTTTCTAATTTGAAAAATATTTTTTGAATGATGCTTTAAAACTTTAACAAATAAGGAGCTCTGGATCATAATTTGGTAAACAAGATTAAAAACCGTATTTTAAACTGTCATTTTCAATGAAAAAAAACAATCATGAATATGGGAGGTTTATTTTATATTCGACAAAGGAAATTTATCCAGATTGACTACAGTCTCTCAGAAAACGGTAATTTGTATGTTCATGTCCTCTTCTTTAAAATAATATCAAATGTACATTAGGTATCAGGATTACTTTTCATATTATTTCAAATTGAATTCCATGAAAATACCCTTTTTTCTACAAAATTCTGTAAAAGCCGTAAAGTACGGGAAAATATGACGTCATAATGGATCTAGCATCAAAAATTAGTCTAAAGTCATTTACTAGATCTTTACCTTAATTAAACATTATACAATGAATCAATCATTATGAATTTCCCGGCATCTCACTCTCTATATTCAGCATGGCAAAATGACGTCACAACACGTTCATCTTCAAATCAGTGCGGAGTTTCCCAAAAGTGTACTGTGATAATCGAATATCTTTAATAGAATTGTACATAACGAAGTTATGTAGTAAACGGTTCATTTGCATGTACTTGTGTCGTAAGAAAAATAAACTGATACCATGCACAGTATGTACACAAGATAGTACTGTACTAATTGCATTTATTATCACTTTGTTCATGTACTGATAAAAAAAAAACTGTAGTAACAAGTTTCGGCCGAACCTGTACATATGATGTCATAAATGTTCTTTGAAATTATGACGTGATGTATGTAAGTGCATGAACTCACTCATTTTGACCTTGTAGCAGAAATGTTCTATTCGTAAGTAGAAAACTTGCATGTTTCAAGAATTTTTATAAAAGAATGCTAACAACTGTTAAGTCCTCTGAATGAAAGAAAATTACTTGAGAAGCAATATTAGCAATATTTTATCGGTAGGTAGGTAAAAATATCTTTTTTTCCAGAAAATTTCAATACATTTGTTGACAGGATTATCTCAGGAAAAAAAATTGTCCTGATATGTTTGAAAAAGTTTCGAAGAGTCGGGTCATGTAATTAATATTTAAGATATGATCACCGAAAAGATAACTTTCCGGTCAGAGAAAGAACGTTAGGAACACTTTCTGAAAAAGTATAATAATTTACTTTTTTATTGAAGTTTACAATTTTGATTATCAAAGAGAAATATTTAGAGATTTAATATTGATATTCATATAGAAAGATGCAATTCATTCAATAGGAGTCATATCATTTTACAAATTCAAACAGAGAATTTGACACTTACCAAGTATATGCAAGAAAACTCTAGTACTGACGTCCCGAATAATGATATTTGTTTAGCAAATATCCATCTCACCTCGTGTAAACTTGTTAAATGTCACTTTATTTAAAAAGAAGAAAGGAATTGTCATAGCCTGAGCCTTACCCAGCAATTAAACTCCTCGAGTCGAACTGATTCAAAAAAAAATATGTCGCTACTCGAAGTCCAATCTGACACTCAATCGATTTCACTTACATTGACGCCTTAAAAATTTTTCAAAAATGACCGATATGGATTGAGATAAATTTCAAGGTAAGTTCTAGATTTTTAAGGTGTAATATTTTTGAATTTAAAAGATGCATTAAAAAATCGACTTTAAGGTCTAATATTTTTATTATATAAAAGATAAAGATGCATTAAGAAATCGTCATATATAAATTATTTGTAGTCATACAATCAAGACTACTAATTATAATCAAATTAAAGCAATTTTCACGCTGTTAAACGGAAGTTTACAAGACAGTTAAGAAATAGTATAAGAATTTTTTCAATGATTTGTAGACAAAAATAACGACCATATTACATGTATGTGCAAATCAAAGTAGTAATGACATTGTATATGAAAAGATGATTCTTGTCGATGCATTTTTTTAATTTGTTATTTTACCTAATTATAGATATATCTCTGATGCAAATTGCTTGGAAGAGTCTCTCTCTCTCTCTCTCTCTCTCTCTCTCTCAATACTACATACATGCAATAAAAATTGATTAGATTTTTCTACAATACCTTTGGTTTTGTCCTGCGTTGGATTTTAATTCTCTCTCTCTCTCTCTCTCTCTCTCTCTCTCTCTCTCTCTCTCTCTCTCTCAGATTGCCTTATATTTGTCAAGAAATTAAACCTTCTTAAGCACATTTTGATAACATGCTGCATATTTTCTCACCATATGTAAAACATATTGAGAGAGCCATGACAAATACATAATATAATTAATTGTGAAGTACATGTATAAAATATTTCTTTACGAATTCAGATTTTTTTCTGCATTAAATTAGATTTAAATTCGGTCTGATAGTTTCATGTGAACACGCCTTTTAAATGCTGGTATCGCCCTATATTCATAGGACCAATGAAAGTGGATTCGGAAAAAAAACCTCTCATTATTATTTCCGCATACATGTATACAATGAGATTAAGTGTAGCTGTTTAACGCTTTCGCCAATAATTTTTGACACGTAGCAATTAATTCTTTTGTAAACTTTAGTGATATAAAATGATGACAGTCGGTTTACGAAAGTGCGATTCATAAAATCTGAATTAACTTGATTTTTAAAAGGAAAATAAAATTAAAATCTTAACAACAACGGTATACAACATTAAAATTTATTTTCTCTTACATTAAAAGGTGAAAAATAAATTGTTTACAAATGTACATACACTTTACTGAACTTTAATTATAATACTTTTTTTGCTGCATGTTTAAATAAAGTTTTATATTTTCCTTTTTCCTTTAATTGACATAAATTCTCATTTAAAAAAGTTAAAAAAAAAAAATTCTATGAAAGTGAAAAAAAATATATCGACTCTAAATCACTTGCCCATAACAATGTATACGTTTTACATGTAGCTTAGATATAAAGAATATGAAATGTTTGATTTCACACTTAAGGTTTTGCAATGCTTTAAACACACACTTAACATTTCAACCGATAGCAATGCAAATATATATAAGTAATGAACATTTTTTCAATCTTGATATTATTTTGCATACCAGCTATTTGTAAAACTATATCTATAATTATATAATAGTTTTTTTTATTTTATTCAGGTAAAAAAATCACAGAATGTCATGATTCACATTTAAAACATTACAAATTAGCCTACTATTAGAGAAAGAACACACATTATCTCAGCACTATGCTACTAAATGAAGACCTAATTGACATGTACATGCAATTATTATTAAATAAGTTGCATGACACACAGATGATATAGGCCTATAGTACCTGAGCATAGCCAATAAAGTATTTTTAAAAAGCTTTTTTCCAACAGGGTCCTCAAATAACAACTTTGCTAGTAACAAAAATTTCTTAAATATTGGAGTTTAAGCAGAGTACTTTTTTGAATATAGCATAAGACTATGAAAAATGACATGTTTCCAATTGTACCTTAAGAATTGTCATAATTATGCTTATGAAACTATAATAAACAAATAAATAAACAATAACACTTGACAAGCTATTTATGTAGTAACATAGCTTTTGTATTATCCTTTCGCAGAGGACTTAGTGGGAATATAGTAACGCGCTTATGTGTGTTTGAATGTATGTCAGTCAAGCTTGTCCTTGCGCAAAAGGGAAGTGATGTAATTTGCATCCGGGTCACATTGAATGCTGTCTACTTGATTTTTATTATTTTTTTTTTTGAGGGATGCTCCGCTTTGCTATGTCTTTGTTTTGTATATAACCATCATGAGATTCCCAAAATTTCTTTTATTCAGAATGACGTAACAACACAGAGCACTCCAAAGGGTGAATCCCATATGGCAAATCGACATGAAACAGTTCTACCATTCCTGATATTTATGTCAATGATTCATTTTTCACACTCTGGTAAGTTTTACTTTGACTCTTGAAAAAGGATAAGGAGGGGAGTTTTCTAAAATTCTAGACTTACATGTAATATCTAATATTGAAATATTTCTCTCGTGTAGTCAATAAAAAATCAGGCTGGTCCGATATATCTGTTGTTTTCCAAGGTTTTTTTAAAAAGATTTTAATATTTTACGAGCCAGGAAAACATCAGAACCGGCGCCATTATTCTGAAGTTTTTCTGGCAAGAAAAATATCAAAATCGTTTTTTTAAAAAGACCAGAAAAAGCCAGACAAATCGGATTAATAACATCTAAAATGACAAATAAAACTACACAAAAACGGGCGGAAGAACAAATGCTCTTAGAATGTTTAGACTATATCATCTCAAAATTTCTAATATGTGTGTGTGTGAGAGAGAGAGAGAGAGGGGGGGATATGGTTTCCAAAAATAAAGCGTCTTGAAACTAATTTTGAACAAATCCTTGTAGGTTAAGAGTTTTGTTTTTAATACAGAGTTTTCGACTCATTTGAAAATAAAACAAGAGGCCCATGGGCCACATCGCTCACCTGAGCACTGTGGCTAGGCAAAGTATAAATTGGTTTATTATTGAAAAGGTAAAATCCAAAAGTAGTCCCATGAACATCATGGATTTTCTATCTTAGAGAAGATTTTTAAAGAATTTTCCTATATATTTCTATGTAAAACTTTGGTCGGCCATTTTGGCCCCGCCCTACCCCCGGGGGTCATGATTTGAACAAACTTGAATCTACACTACCTGAGGATGCTTCCATATAAATATGATGAATTATGGCTTGGTCATTCTTGAGAAGAAGATTTTTAAAGAATTTTCCTATATATTTCTATGTAAAACTTTGGTCGGCCATTTTGGCCCTGCCCTACCCCCGGTGGTCATGATTTGAACAAACTTGAATCTACACTACCTGAGGATGCTTTCATATAAATATGATGAATTATGGCTCGGTCATTCTTGAGAAGAAGATTTTTAAAGAATTTTCCTATATATTTCTATGTAAAACTTTGGTCTGCCATTTTGGTCCCGCCCTACCCCCGGGGGTCGTGATTTGAACAAACTTGAATCTACACTACCTGAGGATGCTTCCATATAAATATGATGAATTATGGCTTGGTCATTCTTAAGAAGAAGATTTTTAAAGAATTTTCCAATATATTTCTATGTAAAACTTAGGTCAACCATTTTGGCCCCGCCCTATCCCCGGGGGTCATAATTTGAACAAACTTGAATCTACACTACCTGAGGATGCTTCCATATAAATATGATGAATTATGGCTTTGTCATTGTTGAGAAGAAGATTTTTAAAGAATTTTCCTACATATTTCTATGTAAAACTTTGGTCGGCCATTTTGGCCCCGCCCTACCCCCGGGGGTCATGATTTGAGCAAACTTGAATCTACACTACCCGAAGATGCTTCCATATAAATATGATGAATTATGGCTGGGTCATTCTTAAGAAGAAGATTTTTAAAGAATTTTCCTACATATTTCTATGTAAAACTTTGGTCGGTCATTTTTGCCCCGCCCTACCCCCGGGGGTCATGATTTGAACAAACTTGAATCTACACTACCTGAGGATGCTTCCATATAAATATGATGAATTATGGCTTGGTCATTCTTGAGAAGAAGATTTTTAAAGAATTTTCCTATATATTTCTATGTAAAACTCTGGTCGGCCATTTTGGCCCCGCCCTACCCCCAGGGGTCATGATTTGAACAAACTTGAATCTACACTACCTGAGGATGATTCCCCATAAGTTTCATCTTTCCTGGCACAGTGGTTCTTGAGAAGAAGATTTTTAAAACATGCCACCAAATTTTCATTAATTGCCAATTATCTCCCCTTGAATGAGGGCGTGGCCCTTCATTTGAGCAAACTTGAATCCCCTTTACCCAAGGATACTTTGTGGCAAGTTTGGTTGAAATTGGCCTAGCGGTTCTTGAGAAGAAGTCGAAAATGTGAAAAGTTTACAGACAGACGGACAGACGGACAGACAGACGGACGCCGGACAAAATGTGATCAGAAAAGCTCACTTGAGCCTTCGGCTCAGGTGAGCTAAAAAAATCCCAATAAAGTATTGCAATTTACATTTCATAGATGTAGGCCATTGTCATGTGGAAACCTTAATCAAGATTGTAAGTTGGTCTAGATTGTTACGAACGCTTCGTGCCATATTCATAATTCTCTTTTGAATACTTTCATTTAAAACTGCTGGAAAAAAGCCATACTAGAAATGGTTCGATTTTGCTGTTCCAATGCAAACAAATTCCAAGAAGATTTTTCTCCTACTAGATGAGTTTTAATAAAACATTTTACAAATGAAAACAATTCACCAAACGTAAATATTTTTTTTTATCATAATTCATTTGAATTTATTGCAATGCATGTACGTAGACACTGCAATCACTTAAAGAACAAAAAATCACAGACTGGGACATTGAAAGGTGTTGCCTTGTTGTGACGTCATTTTTTCGTATGTGTAACGAATCAGTTCCGGTACAAGGTTGATAGGATCTTAGACTGATCATAAGACTATCGCAGTGCTTCAAACTGTAAATGCATCGTGAAATACTGAAAAATAAATGTCTATAATTAATCCCCTGTATTATGTACCATTAATAGTATCACCAACTTAAGATTTTTTCTAGCTACTGCGTATCATCACCCTTTGTTAACATTTATTTTTTGTTTTGTTTTCCAGACACGTTAACATGTACATCATCTGTGACGACCATAAGTTTGAATCCTTCCACTGATCCGATAAAAACCTACAAATATCCTGCAACTGGTTTGTATCCAACGTAAGTGTGCAATAGTTACTCGAATAAATTATAGAAATATATCCAGCAACTGGTCTATATCCAATATAAGTGTGCAATAATTACTCCAAATAAAACCTACAAATATCTTGCAACTGGTCTCTATCCAATGTAAGCGTGCAATAGTTACTCCAAATAAATCCTACAAATATCTTGCAACTGGTCTGTATCCAATATAAGTGTGCAATAATAACTCCAAATAAATCCTACAAATATCCAGCATTTGGCCGCCTGTATTCAATGAAAGTGTGCAATAGTCACCGTGAATACGAGTAAAACTTACAAATATCCTGCAACCAGCAAGAATCTAAACTAAGTGTGCAATTATTACTGCGAAAACCCTACAAATATCCAGCAGTTTGCCTGTGTCCATAGTAAGTGCGAGTAAAACCGATAAATACTCGGTCTGTATCCAGTGTAAGTCTGCAATAATTACAAATGCACTCCGTATAGAACCTACAAACATCTTGCAATCGGCCTGTATCCAGTGTGAGTATGCAGTAATTTCTTTGAAGAAAAAATTCTACAAATATCCTGCAACTGCCCGTATCCAATGGAAGTGTGCAGTAATTACTATGAATAGAGCCTATAAATATCCTACATCTGGTCTCTATGCAATATCAGTATGCGATATTTACTCCGAATAAAATCTTCATACACTGTTTATCCTGCAATTTTTTCCTCAAATTCAATAAGAGTAAAAGGCAATAAATAGTATGAAAATTAGATATTTTGTTGATGTCTAGTCGTGTTAAAATTTTGCCTTGGGTGATATAATTATGAAAAGAGTAAAAGGCAATAAATATATGGAGTGGTTATCCACATACAGAAATTTCTACAAGGAAATAAATGTTTTAATAAAATTACTTCTATTCAATTCCTACTATTGTCCATATTTTACAGAACAACGACATGTAAATGGTTATTTCAGTCCACTGATGCCAGTTCCAGGATTACATTTGAAGTCACCGGTGTTTATGTGGATTGTGGAGACACATTAAAGTTTTATGACGGTTAGATATACTTTCTACTTGTAAAATGTTAAGTCCCATGATACTTCAGATTTCAGCTTAGTACCTCGTGGCTATTCGCCTATTCTTAAAAGATGTATTTTCCTGGTAATATGTTTTTTGATATTGGCAGTCACGTTTAAAGTCATCGTTTTGTAAGTTTTATGGTCGGTACAATGACTATGTCAACAAATCCAATTTATCATTGAGTCAAATGCCGACTGACGTTTTCATACTAATTGTTAGTCAATTATTATACACTAAATTGATGACGGATTTTCCCGTTATTTCCCGATCATGACTAGGAGCACACGGCGGGAGTGACCGGTCATTAGGGGATGCTCACTCCTACATGGTACCTGATCCCATCTCTAATTTTTTGAAAGTGCGTGTTTGCTCTGCTCCTATTTTGTTTTGCTTTAAGGATTTTGCATATTGAATACAGTCCGTTTTTTCCATATTCTTTATGTCAACTATTTCAACACCCCAGGAACATCGTCAAGTGCTACCGCCATTGGAGGCTCTGTGTGTTGTTCTTCGTCTCCCAGTTGTGGTTCCAGTAAACCCCCAGTAACAACCACCGGGAGTAACCTCTTTCTGCAGCTTGATTCAGACGGAACAGCCAATTCTTACGAATTAGGGTTTACAGTTACTGTTGTCGTTGGAAAAGATGAATGTAAGAGATTTATAACAAAATTTGTTTTGCTTTTTTAATATCAGTTCCAAAACAACTTACTTCAGTTACTTCAAATCGGGTTTAATTAAAAGTTAAGGAAATTAAACGAAGTGAAGTAAGTTATGAAAAAAACTTTTAAGAAAATAGGCGCAAAAGGTTCATTTTTTACTCAAAGTTTTTATATATAAGGGACCATTTTTTTTGTTCGTTTGTTTGTTTTTGGATTAACTATTCGTAATCGTGTATTCGATTGCCATCTTTATTTACTTGTGAATTATACTGATTATCCAACAATGTAAAAAAAATAATGAAAGTCAACAGAAATCACTGCAAAATCCTGTTCATAATTATATTATTACTATTAACCAATAGATAGAAATGAATCTCGCATATTTTTTTTACTCTTGGTGATTTACTATGATAAAAACCCATATTTCCCAATCTTACATTTATTTCATAATTTTTAGAATAATTAAGGCACATGTTATTAAGGCACAGAATAAAGCAAAAGTTCTCTAACGTTTCTATTTTCAGCCAATTGTTCGGCTTCTAGAACATTTAACATTAATCTTGCTTCATCACTGACCTTGACCTCACCAGAATTCCCCAACAATTACCCCGTGTAAGTTCACAATAACAGTGAAAACTGTCTAATCTGACACCCGTGTAATCCGACACGGTGTGAATTCAGACATTAAATGTGGACCCCATTTTATTATTTTCATATTTCTTCACACTGCAATCCATCACCCATTCTATTCAAAAATAGAATTTGTCTCCCTGCGCATGTCGGATTAGACAGGATTAACTGTAGTAACACCGTTTATGATATGATGTTTATTTTCTTGTATTTTTTATTTTATAATAAGAACAAGAAGTGAAGGATCTTGCAAGACAAAAAATAAAAAAAAAAAAACAGTTTTCTTCTTGGTCGAGAGTAATTTTACCTATTTATTGAAGTATTATGAATTTAATGTATATATTTTTTATTATAGAAGCCGTACCTGTACATACACATACACATATTCAAGCGGAAATGTTCAGTTTGAGTTCATTTATTTGAAAGTGGAGCTGGACAGTGGACGCTGCTTTGATTTTGTAGAAATCTATAATGGTAACAAAAATATAGCTTTTTCTTAAAATGTTTGCATAATCTTTTCTTTTTGAGGCATTAAATTTCTTATTAAAAATTTTTATGTATTTTTTTAATCTATCTTGTTTATTATACTATTTTAAATAATTTGGCAATCATTATTTAAATATTTGATAATTATAATATTATTAATCTAATAATTATAAATAAAAATTTACACGTTTACATATATACATGTAACAATATTTGGCATATAACAGGGTCCTCCACTAGTTCCCCTCTTATTGCCCAAGTGTGTGGAGATTCTGTCCCGGCACAGAATACCTATACGTCTTCTGGAACATCTTTGACAATCAAGTTCAGCAGTGACGTCCAGGTGACGAAGAAAGGGTTTCTGGCTCGTGTGACACCCATCGGTAAGCAAATAGAATTTAATTAAATTATAAAGGGTAGAACTTTATCAATATCAGCTATAACCGTTATGTACAAAAGTATATCTTTCAAATTCCATTAGCATTAACACTACATGTTTAAGCTTTATATGTGTCAGGATTAACAATTGTATAGAAAATGATTAAGGTTAAGAACATTTTCGGTAAGATGGAGGTGTTTTTGAATGACAAATAACAGAGTTTAGCATTTTACGTTTAAAGAAAAGAACGTATTCATTGAAATATTTGTTTACTTATGTAAAAAAAACGTTGTTTGTCAGATCAAAATGCGATTTCCAGCACTGCTACGACAGGAAGCAGCTCCATTGGTAAGGTGATATATGCAAATAAAGCATGAACAGCGCATTGCTTGTTTTAAACATTATATATAAATGTACCTAGGGATGTATTACAAAATGTGAGACCGTATTTGTAATATATGTATTGTACTACATGTGCGTACTGCATTTAATTCAATGTTATGTGTTTGAAGAGTGCATGAATTTTTCTGTGTGTGCAAGGAGGTGGCGAAGTGTTTAATAGGAAACTTTCTTATCTTTTTTCCCTTTAACTGTTTCAAAATATCTAATTCTTAACACTGTAAAATCACATATTTTCGTGGGGTCATTTTTTTCAGGTTTGAGGAAAAATCTTGGTTTTTTGGAAACTTGATTTCGTAGATGGAGAATGGTTTGAAAGTAATGTATATTAAATTTAATATTTCTTGGTGGTCATAATCTGTGGGTCTCTCCTTGCCTAAAAAACAACGAAAATGAAACCCCCAAGAAAATAAGTGATTTCACAGTAGTTGTTCATAAACTCTTTTTAATCATTCATACTTTATCATTGCATCTAGGCATCTGGACAACATTACAAAAAAAATTATGAAATGTTAATCCTGAGAACATGTTTTTATTTTCTTAAAAATGAAAGTGTCATTATCTATTAAATTTCTGAATTGAAATTTCCCAACTCGAGACAATATTATTATTCAGCAGTGCTAGTTTTGGCCTACTTCAGCCCTTTAGTGGAAGCTCAATAAAACTGCAATCACCACAAAATGCAACATTCTATTGCAATATGTTTGTAAAACACGTTTTAATTGGCTTATGTGCTTTGTTTGAAGCAGTAAAACGAGCATTAACATGGGTGAAAGTTTTTCATTGTGACGTTATTCTAGAGCGATGCAAAAACACAATGCTCCGTGACGTATTTCATATCACGAAACTCAACAAAATAAAAATGCAAACAACAAACAAAATGCATAGATTGCATTAGAATTAGATATCTTCTAATTTGGTATTTGCGACCGTTAATGCTGATTTAAAGGTCGCAAACATCCGTTTTACCGGCTCCGCTTACGTGTCGCCGGTAAAATTCAATTTGCGACCATTAAATCAGCATGAACGGTCGCAAATATCAAATTAGAAGATAGTTATTTTTTAATTCTTTTTCGTTTCTTTTACAAAACCAAATAAAAATGTATTCGCTTGAGTAAATCGAATGAAGATAATATGTAACTATTACTATGCCTGCTTATCAATCCCCAAACAGAACAAAGTTATAGTTAATTATTCTTAATCAAAGATTTCAATTTAGAAAATCACTTTTTTGCTATGAATTTCAGACGGATATATTTAAGTCTTTAAGTTTCCTACAATTAATTTTATGGTATTAAAATATTTATTCCATAATAAAGATTGCATCATTGATAAATAATGTACGACATATTGTATGTGTTCTTTAAAAAGCGGGCTTGATTCTTTCGCAGCTTTGGAACAGGCAATGTACGCTTTTCGTGAATACCGCTAAGTATTTACTATAGTAAACTTTAGTAAATTAAAGAAAACTTTTATAGTAAGTTGTTGTTAGGGATTTTTTCGTCAATTTAAAGATGCATTCTAAACCAAAGAAAATCCAGCCAAACTTATTGTCATGCTTTTAAGGCATTAAGCAAGCAACACGGTAAAATTTATTTATAGTGGGAAAATATTGCTATCAATAATGATGTTTTAGTAAATTATTTTCATTAAATAGCAATATATTACTTAACTGATTTATTTGGTCTTCAAATTCATGAATAGTAGTTCAGTATTATGTATAATGATCATTTTTTATTTAGCTTACTTAACAACAAGTACTACTAACGCAGTCACGACTGACACAAATGGTAAGTCTATCTAAGTGTTTGACTGTGTTAATGTTTGAAATTAATATAAAGTATCAAATTATCAACGTATTATAACGTATCAAAAATTACACATTTGTCGACAGCAAATCTACAATGTAATGTCAAAATGTTAACAGGTTTGAAAGAAATGCTCAACCATGCAATTTATTATAACTTCATCATAAATTATCATAATTGTTTTAACTTTGGTAACAGAGATAAATATATGAGAAATACAATGCTACCCAGATTTCTAAACAATAGCAAATATCATTGTTAATGAGCAGTGTCAAAACTAGTCCCTCCGAAGTTGAGATGCAATAGCTTTGTTCTGAAATTACTGGTTCTTTAAACTGAATTGCACATTTACTGTTTTATATTTACATAACATATGCTTTTTGCATATAAGGTGAATGGAAATCTATTGCATTCAAAACGCCATAGCGCAGACAGGGTGCCAAGAGGTTAAAGCATGCATTTTGATGTCATAATCGTTGAATGTTGAGGAAGTGCAACGTCATAAACAAAAATAAAAAATCACGCTCAAATTAACCAGAAGCTGTTACGTTGGCTGATCCATTAACTGTAGCTTACACGAAGGATAACACATAGGGTTTTTTTGAAATGAAAATCACATTTGCAATTAAAGTAGATAGTTAAAAAAAATGTAAATATAAACAATGAATCATTATTTTTTGAAATATATACATGTAGTATCATAGCTGCAACGGTATGTGCAAATAAATTTTCATATAGCGCTAACGCGCGGTACTCAATTTGTTTCCACACACCATAGCAGTTATAATGAATAATGAAGCCACGCCCTCCAGCGTAGCAAAAGTCAACAGTGCTTGACGAGAGGTGATATTCAAAAAAAAAAAAAAAAAAAAAAATAGCGACTGCGCAGAATTAATGCGCGCACGGTTCACTGTTATATACATGCGTATAAAACTTTCAGTATACATGTAATATTATAAATACTGCATGTAGTTGAGTGTAACATTGAAAAAATTTTACCCCAAGAAAACCATTGTCAACCGAGGTGTATATCAGGAGCAGGTTGATAACTATTGTCTTCCCTTTGGATGAAATAATAGAACTTGTAAACATTGTAAGTTGTATATATCATTGATATAATATGTGTGGGATCAGTAAACTATAATTAATACTATGATGACGTCATAGTTGTCTTTTGACATTTTTTGTAAGAATGGGTGGGAGAGCGAGGTTTGTTAAAAGTTAATGTTTTAATGGAAGACATCATTATTATTAAGTCTAAGTAGGTTTGCTTGGATTTGATTTTTTTCTTAAACTTAAACCACCAAGATTAATATGAAATTTGAGTAAACATGAAAGGACCTTCAGTTATTCAAACATTTTTAAAAAAATTAAAAGAAAATGGCTAATCATATGAAAAATATATTTTTTATATAAATTTATTATACCCCTTAGGTGCTTGTGGACAGCCACCCCCGTACATTTCGGGTCAAAAGATTTTCTATTCGTTTTCTTTTCATTTCAATTAATTTTTAATGCACATTTACAATGCATTCTATATAATTATCTAAAAAAAAATCCTTCCACCACCACCCCCAATGAAAAACTAAGCCAGGTTGAATTTTTTTAAGTCATACCAGTGGCATTATAAAAAGATAACTTTTAAAAGTAAAAGTTAAAAGATATTATATTTTAAAATATAGTATAATTTTATCATTGTATATCATAAACTAAAATGAATATTAATAATGTATAATAACAAGATATAAAAGTTAATTTTAAACATTATTTATACAATCAGGTAATTAATATTGATCCTAAAACCAATGTCACACATACGAAATTTAAACATAAACATTTGTCTACTAGTGTGTAATTTCACATTGTAGAACCCTCCACTTTTAGTGATTCAAGCACTACATCGGGTATGTATAAATGGAATTACCCGCTAATGTGAATTATATCTTTAAGTGTGCACTTATTAACTATAGCATACCTAAGCATGTGCGGTTTAATTAAATAATCGCCCATCTATGGTTTGACACTGCAGCACACGAACCTTTTTTCACAAATTCATGTAATTGTAAATGATAAACAAATATTTAAGGGGTAATTTTTGAATTGCAAGTGGTTAAGTGTATTTTTTTTTGTATTTCCTGAGATTTCAGGGGTCTTTATTTACATTATAGAAACTAGTACGCAACAACAATATGAAACAACAACTTATGTCGAGAAAGGTCTGTAGTGGCAAATGTTTAATGAGTTAATTAAGAATATAACCATGCATGCATGATCAACTATAATTTTGTTTGCATGAACGATTTTTCCCTTGTTGCACACATTTCAAATCCATGGTCAAGGATTTTTTTCCAGCGACCATATGATATATAATTCCGTCATTTATAAAGTAACTAGTCTTTTCATTACAATATTGGAAATTTTTTTTTATGTGACTTTACAAATTTTAATGTGTATTAAACATCTGTATAAAATAACTGGGCATATGTTGCGCAATAAGCCTGAGATTATGATATAAAACCTCATAACATGCCTATGCGCATTTCAAAATGTTCATTATATATTTTATGACTCACCATGGTAGAAACAAGTCAACATTATGATGATACCACCACGTATGTTAACACAGGTCTGTAGTTAATATATGCATGTCAAGTACACTTTGATTCATTTACAATTTGAGTGTCTTTATCAATTTATGATATGCATGTTTCTACAGTAATATGTGGAACTGAACGCATTTTTGTTGTAAACACACAGACAAACCATCTTCACATATTGATGACACCACCACGGATATATACGAAGGTGTGTTATATGCATGTTAAAAAAGAAAACTAATTGATTCTTCTCACATTGCTTTTTTTATAACAATTCCATATTTTAAGAAATAATCAAAACTAATGCATACTGTATCAATTAATTGAACATTCAAATTAGATGCTCTGGATAAAACTGAGTGTTGAAACTGAAATACAACCAATGTTCAACCTTTGAATATTAAGTGTAACCTCTCTTCTACCAACAAGAACTACTGCTCTCAAGAAGACAAATAAATCTAAAAATTAACTTCAAAAATATAGTTTGAAGCAGAAATTAAAAAAGTAATCCGTGATTTTTCCAATGTAAAATTGTAGAAACAACTACTGAGGTAGAGGTTAAGACGACCTTGAGTCTCCAGACAGGTCAGCAATGAAGCATATCATATACTCCCTGTGTATTCTCGGAGATATTATAAAGTTATCCTTATATTTTATTATAATGATTCACCTTTTCTCTGATTTGCATGATTTTTTAAAGTTCCGTGTTTGCTTTGTTCCCATTTTGTAATGTTTTATAAACTTTTTAACTCGAATACTAGACTAAGTATATTCTCGTTATCCTACATATTTCACTTTACGGTTTGCATGTTCTAACATCATTATACAGGTATACTACAAATATTCCACATAACACTTAAGTTTTAAAGACGTTTAAAATTATATTTAACATTCAATACTGTTTAATTTATATTTTATTTTGTTTACAATAAATTTTACCTTGTCTTTTTCTTTAATCATTTTTTAAACCATCATTATGATATAAACTTTACGTTCGCAGTGACCTCGCAATAAATATATGTAAACTGGTGCAAAAAAAGAAGCTAAAAATTTTGTCACAATGTTTCCACAAGATTCAGTAAACAATGTGGAGGAAATGTTTTATATGACATTACTTTGTTTCTAGAGTCAACTACTAATATTATAACTCTACAGTCAACTACAATCAAAGGTAAGATGTACACCGATATAAATACTAAAATACAGACTGCATGGACAATTGCTTTTTCTAAAACAGCACGAATTAAGTCCCTTTCCTAACCTGTCCCAACAACCATTCTAAACCCTTGCGTTTGTGTCCCCTGATCGAACATCCAATGAAATATACCACTTCCCTTGCTATTGCCTCCAATTCAATTTTAGTGACTGACAGTCTTTTGTGATCAATCTAATTAAAGAGAACCAAGTCTTTGATTGGGTTTATCATTTCGTTTTTTTTTCCAAGATATCGTAAATTCAAATCATTGAAATCAATCAAAAACAATTGAGATAGGGATTGGTTCATTAAAATGAAAATACGAGTTTTTAAGACAACGGACACATTCTTAATAGTTAAGGAATCGCTGTTTACTAGATTGACTATACCACTGAATAAATCTCAAGTAGAAACATTGGGTAATTTACAGTACAATTCAATTCCTTGAAGCGGACAGGTGGTATTATTACTCATGCTGCGAACCGTCATTTATGTTTCTTGCATACGTACTTCTTTGGAGAGTGATTTCCATATATTGTCATTAAATATAAATATGAATATGAATCAATAAAAATCTTTTGAAAAAAATGAAATATACGTATTTTTTTCATGTTAAATAGCCCTAACCAATTGATTTTGTATACAAAGTCTGTCCGGGTAAATTTACATCCTTGTAAGGCACTTGACCTTTTACTTGGATAAATTTACTTTCAATTGATAACATCGAAAAATTAACATACTTAACTTACGAATAATTATCTCTAAAAAAAAACAGTTATAAATTTAGATAATCAAAATTAAAAATTACAAAAATCTATTATTTGTAGAAGACACAACAGAGAGGGTAACATCACAAACAACAGCAGTCGTAGGTACGAGGCGCATGACTCGAATTGTTCTTATATACATGTATTTGTGTTTGTTCTCATTTTTGTCTTTACTCTGGCTCTGTAATTGCAGTCATTTTAAAAGTGCATAAAATATTTACAAGAATTATTCTAACCTACTTTAATTCATACGATACGATATTACATGACTTGGGAAAGTTTTCGCATTTTAAACCGCGAAGACAATTTTCCCATCAAAAATGGCTTCAAATTGAGCATATGGTAAAAGTAACGTGAAGCAGAGTAATATGTTTTCTACGTAACTCATGCTGCGAACCGTCGTTTCTTTTTCATTGCATTCCTAGCAATCTGGAGAGTGACATCCTTATATTTAAATTCAGTGTAAATATAAATCAAAAACGCTTTTTAATAGAAATGAAATATACGAATTATTCAATGTTAAAATTTCCCTTCTAGTTGATATTGTATGTACAAAGCCAATTCGGATAAGTCTACATGCTTTTTAGGCACTTGACCTTTAACTTGGATAAATTAACTTTTTATTTACTATATCGAGAAATTAACACACTTAACATACGATTAATTATCTTTTATAAAACAGTGGGGAATGTTAATAATCAAAATTAAAAATAAAAAAAAAATATTATTTGTAGAAGAAACAACAGAGAGGGTGACATCACAAACAACATCTGTAGTAGGTAGGAGGCGCATGACTCGATCTGTTCTTATATACATGTAAATTTTTTGGTTTTCTTTAAGACTTAACTCTGCGTCTCAAATTGCACCCATTTTAAAAGTGCATGATGTGATATTTACAAGAAATATTTTGTATCATTTAAGAATTAAGCTATTTTTAACTTATACAATATAACATAATTTGGGGACAGTTTTACATGTCGCAAGCTCGTGCATTTGTACAGCCAACTTATGCCAATATTCACCAATATAAGTTCAATAACCGTATATTATTATATAGCTAATAAATAGTCTCTAATAAAATACTACCAAAAATCTAGAGAATTTTAGCGTTCAGTATTTTGATGTTTTATTTAACGCTGAGTTTGTATTGCATATTACGAGTATGCCCGAAACATTCCGAATACGAGCGTTATGGAACGCCCCGTTGCAAACAAAAGTCGTCTGGTCAAATTCTCAGAGCTAAATAAATGAAAGGAAGTTTGATTATAGAGACATTCTAAAGAATAATATCTACACGCTGCTTTATTTGTTTCCAAATTCTATAAACGATTTTATTCATGATTTCTTGATAAATCAGATTTATCGAAAAATAAAAGTAAAATTGAAGTAAGATATTCGGGTGTATACAATGCAAATAGAGGGAAATATCGGGTAATATTTAAGTGTCTTATAATATTGAGTTATATCTATGAGTCGAAAGATTTTTCCTAAACATATTATTTTGTGTCCCTATTTAAAGATGGGTGATGCATGTGTTTTTGAACTACATACCCTTTTTTTATCTGTCTAGGTTTCAAACATCTTTCCTCTACAAAAGAGACGACTTTTTTCCTCCCGATATTTTATAACTCTATTCTTAACACGTTAATTAATGTTCGTTTTAGAATTTATTTGCTACACAAGAAATGTTGACTTTTTATTTATCTCAATTTTTTATTTATTAGAAACAAAAAATTAATGCCAATTAAAAAAAAAAAAAATAAAATCGTATGTAACAATTTGTTTCTAGACACAACAAAACAAGATGTTTCGCAAAGATTATTCGCAGTAAGAGGTATGAAAAGCATGTACCTTAAAATAGGTTATGCACAAGCACGTCTCCTATCTCCGCTTTACAAGTGTTAAAATAAAAATAGATATAAGACTTTTATTTCTGTTTTGAAAATGATTTCCGTAAAAAATTAAATCAAAATTTTGTAAAAACTCAATTTTTCGTTAATGTCAATGAAATCATTGTAACTGCATGAATGAAAGCAATATATGCATAATGATTGTTTTTATTGAATTGTGTTTTATTATAAAATATAGAGGCATGCAGAATATACATGAGTTGCACAAAATAACTACATATAATTCAAACTGATGTTTTATTTAAAAAGAGATCTTACTAATCTTTATAAGAAATACGCACTTTAACTCTTGATTCCCGCCTACATTTTGCAACCTTTTGATTTAATATAAATGGCAATTTGGCTATAATTTTTTTAATTCAAAGAACAGTTCAATGGAAATTAATGAATTGTCATAATACCAGCGCTAAATAGTAAATTATTCATACCTCAAGCTCCTGAAAAAATAGGATGGGTGGGGTTGGGGGTAGACGATATTTATGTTCCCCAAACGAAGTTGGGGAACATATTGTTTTTACTCTGTTTCTTATTATTATTATTCTTATTATTATTTTTCTTCTTCCTGGGAAAATTTTGTCCACGAGTGATCTTGTAAACTACACATCCGACTTAGGTGAAACCTTTTTAGGGTTAGTAGGCATGTTATGTAGAGTTGCCAAACAAAGGTCATTTTGCGCGCACGTGCTTGCAAGAGCGCGCACGTGCAATAGGTGAAATTACCAATATAATGGATATTGCCGTAACTTTTCTATTTTTTGATGAAATTTTTTGAAACTCATAATGTAAGGATACATTAGTAGTATAGACAAGATAGCATGGTCAAATAGCAAGATCTCACGCGCATGCACGTGCGCTTTGCTCTGATTGGCTGAAACTAAAGTCTCAATAACTTTCTTGTTTTTTGTCATAATCCTTTGAAATTTTGAACATAGTCCTACATTATGAAGATCTACCGCATGATATATAAGAATTTTCATGGAAGCATGCGCATGTGCGTGTGCTGCAAGCTGATTGGCTGAAACTTTAAATGGCAATATCTCCTTTGTTTTTTGACGAAATTCTTTGAAATTTAGAATATAGTCATGCATTAGGATATCCTACAAAATGATATAGAAAAAAATCATGAAATCACGCGCATGCACGTGTGCTGCAATGTGATTGGCTGAAACTTTAAATTGCTATTTCTCCTTTTTTTTGACGAAATTCTTTGAAATTTAAAATTTAGTCATGCATTAGGATATCCTACAAAATGATACAAAAAAAATCATGAAATTACGCGCATGCACGTGTGCTGCAATCTGATTGGCTGAAACTTTAAATGGCTATAACTCCCTTGTTTTTCAACCAAACAGGATGGGATTTAGAACATATAGATAGATGTAAGGGACTCCTACAAGAATGTATGATCATCATGCACGTGCACGCACGTGCGTGCATTTGAAACGAGTATATTTAAAAGTACTCTTGAATGAGTGATTTTTATTACTTTTGGACTGAATGCTTTAATGTATAGTATATTAAAATATATGAATAGTGTAGACAAGATGATATGGTCATAACGCACATGCATTCACATGCGCACGGGTGCAATGCTAAAGATTGAATATAATTGGTATCCTTCTGGGAAAACGTTGTTAAAGTAAAAAATGCACAGAGTTTGTCTTATTTTATGAAGCTTACAGGGAATATGGCACCGAAAAGGAGTTGGGGAGCGTTTGGGGAACATCTGTAACGGTTCCCGTTACAATTAGCACTAGTTTCCATTGAAATTGGGCTGTCAAGCATCACCATATTTTGAAATAGTCTTGGATACGATTAAATGTTCCTTATATCTTTTCTTATGTTTTAGGCAAATAAATAAAACATAAATATATCAATTAAATATACGGTTTCAGTTTTTAATCGCTTTGATTTTGGTGGGAAATAAGCATTTTTGTCGTTTTTTGTCAATAAACATATCCCCCCCCCCCTTGACTCATAAAAAGCTTTGGTATGAATTTGTGAAATAACAGTCCATGTAACATGTAAAAAGGAATTTTTGTGTCACGCGGGAGAGGTTTTGAAAAATATTTTCCGTTTTCTATAGTGAAAAACACAAGTTTTAATAAAATTTTAGGGTTAACTCTCCTTGTTTTCCCAATTAAGTAATGCTTTATAAAAATCCATATAATTATCTATAAAAAATATTAAAAATTCATCGAATATGTTAACTTTTGAAAATTGACTTGGAGGCAGGCGGGAGAACAATACTATCGTTCGCAGTTCTTACTAGTCTTGAACATTTGTAGAACACCAACCTTTATATTTCAAATGTTTGTTGTCATTCACATACATACATGCATAAATGTTTTTGACATCAGGGCAAGGATCAGCTATTTGTAAATAATAACGGCCGTCACTTTTGAAATTGAAATAAACAAGAATATAATTTTTTTTATGATTCATAAAGTTGTATTTATAATTTTCTAATATTAAAGAGATAGAATAAACAAATAAATCTTTTTATTTTAAGAAATAAAATTATTATTACCAAATTTGTATAAAATTGTCCAATTTTTGCGCATGCTTATAAGAGATTTTCCAACCTATGTGTCAAAAATGTAATTTTTAAAAATCCCTTTAATTAACTTTAATTTATATACTACAATTCTAAAAGATGGATGTTTACCTTACAATTCTAGATAAAAATAATTACTATTTGCTTATCATTATCCCGAGAAAAATAGCTTTGAATTTGAATAACGGACGTTACGAGTGTCGGTCAACATGATGGGTTAACTTTAAACATTGAAATTAATGTAATTGTATTAAAAATACACAAATATTTTATATTTAGCTTTAACTTTAATGCATACTCAACGGATTCTTTTCAATAACGTTTGTGTAAAAGGATTAAAATAATAAATTTTTGCACATTTATCAAAGGTGCACAATTAGTGTCGGTCAAATTCGTAACGTCTGTAATTTGGGTCGTAAAATGGCTTTTACAATGCGGAATATCTAATCAGTTCGGTTTTTTCTATTAGTTTTACCACACATTTGCAGTAAACGTCATGAAAAGCGACTGTGATACGTAAAATAGAGGCAAAGTGGGCGAGTTTGTATTGTCGGTCAATAACTTCTTACTAGATAACAGACGTCACGCTTATTACTGAATGAGATTCATATAAAATTTATTGATAAAATGGACAAGCCATGTTCTCCAATGTGTTAAAATCTATAATAGTTATTGTTTGACACACGTTTAAGTATTTTTCTAGAACTATTACGATCATAGAGGACATTTGGTGTTCGGCAGTTAAATTTTGACTGACATAACAATGTCAAACCATAACTGCTGAAGCACAGTGATTCGATTATGTTACGAGGAAATTTTATGGACATATTTTTTTCAATAAGATAGAAAGAAAATATAATATTTACCTGTTAAAGTCGCATTTTTTCCTGTCTTCGTACATTATTAACATAACAATATTTGGCTGTTACATGTTGACAAGAAATTGTAAAACGGATATGGCATGTTGACACCTTTTCTGGTCAAATAATAACTTCTTTACGCAGTATGATAATATTATAATGAAATTTGGAGTATTTGTCTATATTTTAAGGTAATTAGCAGAGGTATAACTCATTTATTTTCTTTTCAGATGCTTTGCTACCAGCTTTTTAGGATTTTCTTGGCTGATTGCCTGTTATTATTTGACCATTGTCAAAATTTAAATCTGTACTGATACAAGATTTTTTTCTTATTATTTCGTTAAAGATAAAATTTTATTAGTAAACTTCGGTTGTATATTAATGAAGAACAAATAATAAAATTACTAAATAAAAATTACAAAGCTGTAGAGAGTTAAAATATCCCTTCCGAGAATAACTGTGAGGGATGTTATAATGTAACATCCGTCACAGCGCTTAAAATTCATGAAAATACTTTCAGTAGTTTTAATTAGTATTAAAAGAATGTTTAAATGGAGTTGTATTTGACAAATTAACTTCATTGCATGTATTTAAAGTCGTGTGTATTCTTAAAAAAACTTACGAAATGCGTTAAAAAGCGTCGTCAATGTAACCTCCGTAACTACCTTACTTCATATTGTCAATTTGTCAAATATAACATCCGTTTATTATACAGGATAAAACATTCTTCAAGAAAGAACTATTGTATCCTGTTCTGCTTTTTAATGAAAAACTAGTGTTATTTCCTCATTTAGTGAAGAAAAAACTCACGGTAAACATGATTTCTGTGCAGAAAAACGAATGATGAAAATGCTATAGTAGGAAAAATTGATGTCACCTCCGTCACGATTAATTGTGCCTTATTAATTTTACAGATAGGTCATAGAAGTTTGTCTACTTCGTCCCAAGTAAAAGTGTGGTCAGGTCCATGCATATGATGGTCTTTTTTTGGTTCTCTGTAACGCGAAATAACTTAAAAATTCACATTATATGTGTCAACATAACGCCCATCACTTTTTGATCACCTATATTTGGATGCGATTTTCTTAAAAAATAAAAATGCAATTATCTTTTCTTATTAAATTAATGAAAGAAGGTATAGATATAAATGTATTTAATTAGAAAAAATGTAAAAATATTGACACAATTTTTTTCACTGTGACGGCCGTTATTATTTACAAATAGCTGATCCTTGCCCATCATATAGTACAAATAGTTGATTTTGAAGTTAGTGTTTTGATAAATATGTTTTATCATATGATATTGGAGGTTCATCGTTAGTTGAGGTTCTCTCTAGATTAAAACGAAGTGTCCATTTACCAATACGCCAAGTACTAATTAAAAGATACAAATAAAAGGTACAAGGTACATGTGTTTTGGCTGCACAGTTTCCGCTTCTTTCAAAGAGTCAATAATTAAAGCATGGTGAGGTAACGGTTAAAGTATATTTATTTATTCATACTGCATGGCGCTCTGTTCCCATTGTACACGCGGCATTTTGAGTTAAACAAACAGGTATTTGCCAACAGATTGTTTTTCAAACTTCACTGTGACATCAAAAAACGAGGCTCAAGGTTTTTCCCTGTTTTTATTCCTAATGTGGCTATTAATTTGATTTTCCTTTCAGGCAATAACAGTCCGTCTGTAGCTGACAGTAATGGTACTAATGGTGGAGTCATCGCAGCAGGCGTCATAGTGGCATTGGTTGCAATTGCCTTATTTGTGGCGGGAGGTTTCATATTCTTTAAAAAGAAACAAAGTCGGTCCATTAATTTTTATGACGAAAAAAAGGATGAGGAGAAACGAGAAAAAATTCCGGACGGAGAAAATCAAACGAGCATTCAGCTATCACTTCCCCCTGCTGGAACTAAATGTGTCACGTGATCAATATTCTCCATAGTATGGGTTTTCTTTAAATATCTATTTTAAATATTTTTTATATATTTTAAAAATATTTTTGTTTTTTAAGGAATATGAACAAATTTTTTCTACTTTCTATTCATTGGATATAAAAATCATCAATGTTTAACATTATTTTAATATGTTTTAGATATATATGCATAACTAAGTTTTAAGGACATCTTATGAGTAACAGATAACTTGAATGAAAGAACGTTATGTGTTAATCGTATTTCTGCTATATAGCATCAGATTATAATCCATGTCTGATAATAAATACATTCAAAATACTACCGATCTAAGTGATGATTTTTAAAATGAAATTCATGTTTATTTCTTTAATAGAGACTTATGATTTTCAGGAAATAGACTAGATACAATAAAAGTGATTATTCATGATCATTTATATATAGACCTTTAAAACATTTCTACTTGATGAAATTACGAATGAATAACATCCAGAAAACTCAATATCACTGTAAATGTTCTCAATGACGGCAAATATCAATTTTGTGTACACATTTTTTGTGATAATATCAAGTCTGAAAGTTTCCATTACATGTTTAAGCTGTACTTTCTTTCATATGTCTTGCATGAAATTCAATACAGAACCCAATAAAATCGTTAAAAAGTCGGACGGTTTAGCTCTTTTTTAACGTTATTTAAACTATTTTGCATGTGATGTGTATATGTAGAAAAAAAAATAGAAAAAAAGTCATGTAAAACCATTTTCCTAATTTCTGATATTAATTAATGTTTTACATGGACAATGCTAAATGAGATGTTTATATCATATGTTATATTTGTTGACGATGTAAAAATGTTAATTATCAGCTTAATTTGTGTATTTGATATTCATTTTAGTTTCCAAAGAGTAAAACCCTAATTTTCTATCAGGAAGAAAACGCTAAGTCAACACAAAAATACAATGGATATGAAAATATAATCAGTCGATTTTTTTCATTGTATCAATACAGTCGATAAGTTATAGAAATTGAAATCTTTACTGCAAGAAGGATATGAAGATAACGAACAATACAAAACAGGAGCAGAACAATTCAAAGTATTTGTATATGCCAAACGATAGAAACTGTCTTGACCATATCATGTTATAAAGAAATGCTGGAAGTTCATACTTTATAAAAAAGACTGGTTTTTAAACTGAGAGTGCCATTTTATTGAACCAAGGTCAATTGGTCAAGTTCAAGGTCATTTACAAAAGAATTACTACAGTAGTCTTCAAGTTGGGTACGTAGATTTACCTGTAAAATTTTTGACCAGGTAATTATTTTCTAAGGGATAAATCTTGAAAATTCGAATTTTAGGAAAGATCTATTATGAGTATATCATCTTTTGTCACAGCGAAAGAATCGGTAATGAAAGTTAAATTATCACCTTTTGATAATTAAAACAATAGTATTAAACCATAACAGTTCGTAAAAAAATTAACTATTCAGAAGGACACACCTGACACTTATTTATCTACATGTAGTATATACTTACATATCCAATAAATATACAAGTCAGATATAATGATGATTCATGCCCTGTTTTTAAGTTGATGTCCAGTTGGTCTTAATCTATGTGTACTTTTTATCTATACAAACTACTGTTGTTAGAAAAAAATATAAAAACAAAGAGGCATATTTTCTGTAAAAGAAACATTGAAAAACTGAATTAACTCAAGTATGGTCTTTGTTCTTGTAATTTACTAGGAAATAATCTATGCTAACATAATTATCAATGATAGCTTTTTTTCACATTAAAGTCAAACAGTTTTAAACAGATAGCATATGATTCATTTTTTTTAAATTCAAAAGAATAGTATAATACAATTTATCATTAAGTCAAATGCTCACTGACATTTTTGATAACAATTGATAGTCTATTATTTACACACTGAATTGACGACGGATTTTTCCGTTATTTCCCGATCATGACAAGGAGCACTTGGCGGGTGTAAACCGATCGACAATGGATACTCACTCCTTCATTACACTAAATCCTACCTTTGATGTTTTGGAGGTCCGTATTTGCTCCATTCCTATTTTGAATTGTTTTATTGACTTCTGAGGTTAAATACCTGAACCTCCATATTCTTATAATACAAATAAATACATAGATAATTAAATTCCATTGAAAATTCTCTTTTAAAAAATGATATGACTTTTGATACTTTCATTTTCAGCTGCAAAAATATTTTATTGAACATGTAAATATCAAACATATTTTGAGAACAAGAGGCCCATGGGCCACATCGCTCACCTGAGAAGCTTTGACCATTCTGTTCTTTAACAGATTTCCCCCTTGTTATACATAATGCATCCCCACCCTACCCCACTGATCATAATTTAGACATTTTGAAATCTACACTACCCCATAATCCTTCCATGGGCACATATGTTTCAGCTTTTTTGGCCCAGTGGTTCTTGAGAAGAAGATTTTCAAAGATTTTTCCTATATATTTCTATGTAAAACTTTGATGCCCCTATAATGGCCCCGCCCTTCCCCCGGGGGTCATGATTCCTACAATTTAGAATTAACACTACCCCAGAATGCTTCCACATAAGCTTCACTTTTTCTGGCCCAGAGGTTCTTGAGAAGATTTTCAAAGATTTTTTCTATATATTTCTATGTAAAACTTTGATACCCCATTGTGGCCCTACCCTTCCCCTGGGGGTCATGATTCCTACAATTTAGAATTTACACTACCCCAGAATGCTTCCACATAAGCTTCACTTTTTCTGGCCCAGTGGTTCTTGAGAAGAAGATTTTCAAAGATTTTTCCTATATATTTCTATATAAAGCTTTGATTCCCCATTGTGGCCCCGCCCTTCCCCCGGGGGTCATTATTTGAACAATTTAGAATCTACATTATACCAGGATGCTTCCACATAAGTTTAAGCTTTTCTGGCTCAGTGGTTCTTGAGAAGAAGATTTTCAAAGATTTTTCCTATATATTTCTATGTAAAACTTTGATTCCCCATTGTGGCCCCGCCCTTCCCCCGGGGGTCATGATTTGAACAATTTAGAATCTACACTACACCAGAATGCTTCCACGTAAGTTTCAGCTTTTCTGGCCCAGTAGTTCTTGAGAAGAAGATTTTCAAAGATTTTTCCTATATATTTCTATGTAAAACTTGGATTCCCCATTGTGGCCCCGCCCTTCTCCCGGGGGTCATGATGTGAACAATTTAGAATCTACACTATACTAGGATGCTTCCGAATAAGTTTCAGCTTTTCTGGCCCAGTGGTTCTTGAGAAGAAGATTTTCAAAGATTTTTCCTATATATTTCTATATAAAAATTTGATTCCCCATTGTGGCCCCGCCCTTCCCCCGGGGGTCATGATTTGAACAATTTAGAATCTACACTACCCCAGGATGCTTCCACATAAGTTTCAGCTTTACTGGCCCAGTGGTTCTTGAGAAGAAGATTTTTTAATGACCCAACCCAATTTTTCTCTTTTCTTGATTGTCTCCCCTTGCGAGGGGATATGTCCCTTCATTTTAACAATTTAAATTCCCCTTCACCCAAGGATGCTTTGTACCAAGTTTGGTCAAAATTGGCCCAGTGGTTCTTGAGAAGAAGTCGGAAATGTGAAAAGTTTACAGACGGACAGACGGACGGATGACGGACAAAATGTGATCAGAAATACTCACTTGAGCCTTCGGCTCAGGTGAGCTAAAAAAAAGTAAATTTGTCACGTTGTAATTCAAATGCTTCTTCCTTAAACCTCTTATATTTGTAAGAGTAATCTCTCTTTATACAGAAGAACTTTCTCTCTGTTATCTTAATCTCTCTCTATTATTTCAGTCTTGTTAAGATTTGATGCACTTGACTGACTGTAATGTTTTTCTTTCAAATGATATGCATTCATTTGATATGAGTTTTATATATGCACAAAATTAACGGTCATTTACAAAGCTCTCTGCTCCTACTACGTGTTAATTTTATCACAAAATGTTTCTTTTGTTAACAATCAGAAGCTCGAAGTCATAATCAAAATGAAACATTTTTTATCATTTTCTGTTAAAATCTAGAATGACAAGTTACTTAAAATACAGACTACAATAGACAATCTAACAAAAGCATGAACATTGTGAACAGAAAAAAAACCTCAGGAGACTAATTAGAAATATTATTCAATGAAATAATTTACAAATGAATCAACCATTTCAGTCTAGCCTTCAGTCTTCTGTCATGAAAAAAAAATAAAATTATGGATAGAATTGTGTCTGCTCAAACTCAAAAGAGTTTAAATGTTAATTTTGAGCGTGGATAGGGAGACAAATTTTCCAAGCGAGAAAATTCAATTGCATATATCAACTAGAGGTATTGTGAGCAATGAGCTCAATAAATGATATTCCCGCCGCCCATATTGTTGTTATAGTTAAGTACATGTTTTGCTGTGGCCGGGAAAATATGTGTCGAATCAAAATGTAAAATAGGAGATGCACAATGGCAATATGTAATAGAGATTCTTTGAAAGTTTCATTAAATTTCACTCAGTGGTATAGTGTAGTTTCGGATAAGAGATTGGTACCCCAAAGCGTAACAAACAGACGTATGGACGGATGCAACGACGGATGGACAAACCGATTACTATATACACGTATCCTCCAGCTTTTCAAGCGGGGGTATAATGAATGAATGTATCGAACTATTATATATCAGTAAAAGGTGACCTTCTTGTAATTAAATATAACAAAAATGGAGATAAAGTCCATAAAACAATACCAAATAGAAGCAGAGCAAACTCGGACCTCCAAACTATCAGGAGTGGGATCGGTACTATAGAGGAGTGAGGAATCCCCTGCCGACCGGTCACACCCGTCGTGTACTCTTTCTCATGATTTGTAAATGACAAAAAAATAAATAAATATACAATAACGATAAAATCTCGGAATTTTTCCACTACATTTACTTTTTAATGACTCAGGATTATGCATATGAATTAAGGATATAGAGATAACGAACAGTATTCAATATCAAAGTCAATAAAACAATAAAAATAGGAGCAGAGCAAACACGGAGCTCCAAGACATCGGAGATGGGATCAGGTGCCATGGAGGAGTGAGCATTCCCTGCCGACCGGTCACATCCGCCGTGTACTCCCTGTCATGATCGGGAAATAACGGGAAAATCCGTAGTTAATTCAGGTGTAAATAATGGACTTACAATAAGAATGAAAAACGCCAGTCAACATTTGACTCAATGATAAATTGTATTTGCTGACAAGGTCATTGAATCGACCATAGAACTTACCAAATTATGACCTTAAACGAGACTGCTGATATTCTTGTTCCATCAACTTGTTTGTCAATAATTTACCTCGTTTTAGAAATTATTCATACGTAGAGCATGCTCTTGCGTATCGAATCAACTGAGATATATAAATGCCGTACGTATGTGATGAAAGTTTATTGCTGCATAAGTAAGGGAAGTTGAAGAAAGAACAGCTAAAGTCATCACATTTAACAGAGCTTGGTTATTAGATTATCATTAACGTAAAATATCCAAGTATGAAACAGATATGTCAGACGCTGTGGTATATTTTATTTCAAGCTCACCGAGATATATCGTATCGACATTGGAATGCGTCGTCGATATATTTAAATGTTGAGTTGAAGGC